AGAATCTGTGGTGACGTCCAAGGTGCAATGAGATCTTTTCAAAAAGTTTTAAGGTTGACAAATCCAAAAGGATTTCTTGCATTGTCCATCTCTGATCAAGTCAGATATTGCACATGTACTTAATTTATTTTCGTCATATCATCGTTTCAAAAGACCCGGTAGTTAATTATTATATGGTCATCATCAAAACACGTAACCAAATATCGCGATGCGAAAAATTAATTTATGAATATTTCAGATATAGGCAAGGGCCTAAGTTTTTTTTTTTATTGATAGTTTAGCTGAAACTAAAAATTAAACATGTGCTTAGACTCATATTCTGAGAGTAAATATAGTAAAATCACATATATTCGTGGATGCAAATTTTCGAGATTTAAGAAAAATATTGAAATATGCAGTATTTAATTTCATTTCATAGGCCTCTCCATACCCCAAGGACAATTTAACGAAAATTTAACCTCCAAAAAAAAAAAAAAAATAAAATTAGTGATTAGCTGGTTCCACCCACTATTTGAAAATAAGTATGCCGATGTTTAGACATGCCTATTAACAAAATCTTTGGGGTCTTAATTTGTACATTATGTCATAATTGTGTAATTATTTAATACTTGGAAGATTTGATGAAGGTTAATGTGGTTTGTTTGTTAAACACGCTTCAACAAAAATATAATCTACATGTACATCATACAAAGGACAAAGCTTAACAAGAGGCCCATGGGCCACATCGCTCACCTGAGAAGCTTTGACAATTCTGTACTTTACTAGATTTACCCCTTGTATTGTGACCCCACCCTACCCCACTGATCATAATTATATAAGTTTCAGCTTTTCTGGCCAAGTTGTTATTAAGAAGATATTCAAAGCTTTTTCATATATATTTCTATGTAAAACTTAAATTCCCCAATGTGTCCCCGCCCAATCCCCAGGGGTCATGATTTGAACAATTTAGAATCTACACTACCCCAGGATGCTTCCATATAAGTTTCAGCTTTTCAGGCACAGTGGTTCTTGAGAAGAAGATTTTGAAAGATGTTTCCTACATATTTCTATGTAAAACTTTGATTCCCCATTGTGGCCCCGCCCAACCCCCGGGGGTCATGATTTGTATAATGTAAAATCTACCCTACCCCAGGATGCTTCCACATAAGTTTCAGCTTTTCTGGCACAGTGGTTCTGGAGAAGAAGATTTTCAAAGATTTTTCCTATATATTTCTATGTAAAACTTTGATTCCCCAATGTGTCCCCGCCCAATCCCCAGGGGTCATGATTTGAACAATTTAGAATCTACACTACCCCAGGATGCTTCCACATAAGTTTCAGCTTTTCTGGCACAGTGGTTCTGGAGAAGAAGATTTTGAAAGATGTTTCCTACATATTTCTATGTAAAACTTTGACTCCCCATTGTGGCCCCGCCCAATCCCCGGGGGTCATGATTTGAACAATTTAGAATCTACACTACCCCAGGATGCTTCCATATAAGTATCAGCTGTTCTGGATCAGGTGTTCTTGAGAAGAAGAGTTTGAAAAATGTTTCCTACATATTTCTATGTAAAACTTTGATTCCCCATTGTGGCCCCGCCCAATCCCCGGGGGTCATGATTTGAACAATTTAGAATCTACACTACCCCAGGATGTTTCCACATAAGTTTCAGCTTTTCAGGCACAGTGGTTCTTGAGAAGAAGATTTTCAAAGATTTTTCCTATAAATTTCTATGTAAAACTTTGATTCCCCATTGTTGCCCCGCCCAACCCCCGGGGGTCATGATTTGAACAATTTAGAATCTACACTACCCCAGGATGTTTCCACATAAGTTTCAGCTTTTCAGGCACAGTGGTTCTTGAGAAGAAGATTTTCAAAGATTTTTCCTATAAATTTCTATGTAAAACTTTGATTCCCCATTGTGGCCCCGCCCTTCCCCCGGGGGTCATGATTTGAATAATTTAGAATCTACACTACCCCAGGATGCTTCCACATAAGTTTCAGCTTTTCTGGCACAGTGGTTCTTGAGAAGAAGATTTTTTAATGACCCCACCCTATTTTTGTCTTTTCTTGATTATCTCCCCTTGCGAGGGGATATGTCCCTTCATTTCAACAATTTAAATTCCCCTTCACCCAAGGATGCTTCGTACCAAGTTTGGTCAAAATTGGCCCAGTGGTTCTTGAGAAGAAGTCGAAAATGTGAAAAGTTTACGGACAGACGGACGGACAGACGGACGGACGGACGACGGACACAATGTGATCAGAAAAGCTCACTTGAGCCTTCGGCTCAGGTGAGCTAATAAAAAATGTTTTGTAGATTGTATTAAGTCCTACATAAGATCGAAATATGTGAAATGCAGTGTATTCGATATTTTTTTTTTTCAATTGAATATTTTAAACAGTTATGCTCTTATCCATGGCTATTTCTTATCCATGGAAATTTCAATAAAGAAAACATTGTGGAAATTCATAAATAAAAGATATAAGAGCGGAAAAAAATATACAAAAAAAGAGAAATCTCCTGTATCTTTTATGTCTGGTGAACGGTCTGATCTTGGAAGTATAAACCAAGATTGTCGAGAAAGGAAAACTGGCCACTGAGAGATAGTTGAATGCCTTCAGAAAAGAGGAAGGAAAAATGCAAAAAAAATTAACGCTTTCATAATTTTCTATAAACTATGAAGTAGTCATGGGCATCGGTCTTACAATAAACCTTTAATACACAATGTCTCTTTTGATTTATTATTATCTTTTGTAAATCAACATTTAGGTCTACATCATATTTGCACCAAACCTTACTCTGTCCCTTTGAAACTTTTAAATAGTCTTCTTGAAAAGGTCAAGGAAAGCCCATTTTTTGATTCCTCGACACCAGAATATACGCTAGGATCTGTGATTATGGAAATCGCAAATCAGAGGCTTTTTAAATCCCCACGTCCATAATTGTAGTTTGATTTACACCATTAATAAATCTCTGCGATAGAAGAGCCAATAAAAATCTTCATTTTAAATCTATGTGGAATTTGAAACTAGTCAATCTATATAAAAAAGACAATCGATCTCTATGTTATTTTTTTTTCTAGAAGTACTAACTAAATTCAAATCATAAACACAAAAAAATATTTAAAAAATGAGAAAGTGTGAACATTAAAAAAAGCTTCAATTCAGAACTTTTATTAGAATGGGTCTATCAACATAGAATTTAAATTAAATCTTGCGAGTCAAAGGGCTATAACTTGCAAGAAAATAAGCCAATGCAGACGAATCTCAAATGAGATTTCTTTTCACAATATATTCTGTCAGTAATCAGAATAGGCATAACAAAAATCAAAAGAGCAACTAACTTATTTGATATTAGGCTTTTTAATAAGAAAAGAAAAACAAGAGGCCCATGGGGCACATCGCTCACCTGAGAAGCTTTGACCATTCTGTTCTTTATCAGATTTCACCCTTGTTATACATAATGCATTCCCCACCCTACCCCAGTGATCATAATTTAGACATTTTGAAATCTACACTACCACATGATCCTTCCATGGGCACATATGTTTCAGCTTTTTGGCCCAGTGGTTCCCGAGAAGAAGATTTTCAAAGATTTTTCCTATATATTTCTATGTAAAACTTTGATTCCCTATAATGGCCCCGCCCTTCCCCCGGGGGTCATGATTCCTACAATTTAGAATTTACACTACCCCAGAATGCTTCCACATAAGCTTCACTTTTTCTGGCCCAGTGGTTCTTGAGAAGAAGATTTTCAAAGATTTTTCCTATATATTTCTATATAAAACTTTGATTCCCCATTGTGGCCCCACCCATCCCCCGGGGGTCATTATTTGAACAATTTAGAATCTACATTATACCAGGATGCTTCCACAAAAGTTTCAGCTTTTCTGGCCCAGTGGTTCTTGAGAAGAAGATTTTCAAAAGATTTTTCCTATATATTTCTACGTAAAAATTTGATATCCCATTGTGGCCCCGCCCTTTCCCCCGGGGGTCATGATTTGAACAATTTAGAATCTACACTATACCAGGATGCTTCCACATAAGTTTCAGCTTTTCTGGCCCAGTGGTTCTTGAGAAGAAGATTTTCAAAGATTTTTCCTATATATTTCTAAGTAAAACTTTGATTCCCCATTGTGGCCCCGCCCTTCCCCCGGGGGTCATGATTTGAACAATTTAGAATCTACACTATACCAGGATGCTTCCATATAAGTTTCAGCTTTTCTGGCCCAGTGGTTCTTGAGAAGAAGATTTTCAAAGATTTTTCCTATATATTTCTATGTAAAACTTTGATTCCCCATTGTAGCCCCGCCCTTCCCCCTGGGGTCATGATTTGAACAATTTAGAATCTACACTACCCCAGGATGCTTCCACATAAGTTTCAGCTTTACTGGCCCAGTGGTTCTTGAGAAGAAGATTTTTTAATGACCCCACCCTATTTTTGTCTTTTCTTGATTATCTCCCCTTGCGAGGGGATATGTCCCTTCATTTTAACAATTTAAATTCCCCTTTACCCAAGGATGCTTTGTACCAAGTTTGGTCAAAATTGGCCCAGTGGTTCTTTAGAAGAAGTCGAAAATGTGAAAAGTTTACAGACAGACAGACGGACGGACGACGGACAAAATGTGATCAGAAAAGCTCACTTGAGCCTTTGGCTCAGGTGAGCTAAAAAATACAAAAATATTTATATCACAAATTCCATTCAACAATTCAAGGGCTAAAAATACTGATTCTTGGAATCATCATTTAGATCTGTTAGTCACCAATATAAAGAGACATCTACAGAATTATGGTTCTTAATCTGAAAGCATAGAAAACAAAGTATGCCAAGCATTTGCTCATTGTGATGTGAATAACCCTTTAATCAGCTTTAAGGATAAAGAATATACCAAAGATATAGGAAATATCAATGTGTTGAGACTTAACTATTCAAAATCTTAACATCACTTCTTGTTATTGGGTGAATTAAAAAAATGCACACCTAGATATTACATGAGTATATTCTATGCACACCTAGATATTACATGAGTATATTCTAGTTCATACAGTTCAATGTTCAGTTTTTCTTCAAAGATGTCCATATATAAAGAATACAGACAGTGTATATGCAATTTTCTCCAAGTAGACTCAACCCTTAGACTTTGTGTCATTATTTAATTTCTGATATTTCTACTTTTAAAAAAAGTCCCAATTTCTGAGATGTAATCATTTTAAATACTCCCCCCTCCTAAAAAAAAGAGGAAAAAAAGCATAATCACCTTCTAGATTTTATGTCTCATTAACATTCTATCAAACTTAAAAATATGACAAAATTTTGAGGCAGTATTAGTTCAAATACTCATGAAATCTTTCCAAAGGATCAATACATGTTCAGAAAGTGTACAATATGTACATTCCTTGGTAGAATTGCGACCACCTTTTTTTCCTATATAAAAAAGAATTTCATCACCCTTCAACATATCCATGGTATTTAATTTATTGTATTTGATGTTTGAGATATCAACATTCAACTTAGTTAAGGTCATACGCATCATAGTTTGAAATGAATAGGTAATGTACGTTGCGTGTCTCCTTCAATACTGCTAAATGTTCAATATTCTAAGCTACATATTCTGTGTCAAATAGTTAACACCTTGATCGAACATGTCCCAATCCACTCTTGCCCCAGCAATTTCGGCATCCATAAAACACCTGGTTAATTCTCCCAAAGTTGCATTTCTTCCATTTCTATATTTCCATTTGAGAATTATCTTATGAATCTGAGTGATTGCAGAATATGGGTTTTCCATTCTTATAACATCAATATCAGATTGTGTAAGAAGCAAAGCTTTCCCAACTATTTCAACATCACTTCCGAAACATCTGTTGAATTTGAGTAGGTTTTGTTCCGTGAGGTAAAGTGATCTCTGAGCATCAGTGAGTTCTGCATAGCGGTCCACTAAAAAGACATACAAAAGATATGTACTGTGAAATTTTAAAATTTGATTAAAACAGAACAATAAGTCTTGATCTTCTTTACTTTTGTCCCAAATTTCACTCAAATCAGGCTCCTAGTAGGGAATGAGAAGGATTTATAGAGGAATTGAGCATCTTTTTTATAAACCATGACGACATTACTCATCAATATTTTAAAAAAAAATTCCACAGACAACAATGAAAATTACTAGTCTGAAGCTATAATCAAGTGAAATAAGGCTGAAACTCTGAAAAGTAAATGTTTGGGAAAAAATTGACTGCAGACACATAAAACACAATGTGTAAAAAGGGAATACTTTTTTGAAGAAATCATTATATTTTGTGATAATTAATTCAAAACATAGATGTACAATGTGCCAACGATACAGATAAAACCAATCTTATTACACTCAGTCTCCTCAATGGTCTGTCTTAACATTTAAATATTTTTAAAACATAATAAGATAAAAAGAGTCTTTATATTATGTTATATATCTTAAAGTTTGTTTCATTCAGGATGTATTATAAGTATTTGCTATGCAATCATCATCATTTTAACTCTTTGTGTAAATCTACTAAAGTACTTTTTTGTATGGATAATCCTATAATAATACAAATTAAATAATGTAGATATCCTCTTTTCAGATAAGAACTCTTCATTATACAAATATCATTAGACAAATTACCTTGCACTGGCTGTTGTTTTTCTTCAATTGGTGTATTATCAAGTCTATCTGTAATATGATCAGACTGTTTTGCTTTCAAAGCATCAACAAAAACTTTGTATGCCTCGGGACCCGATGTTAATAATAGCCTCAGGAAAACTTCATTCTTTTTTACTGGAGTAAGCATTGCATCAATTTCATTAAAGTCCTTGAGATCCCAAATACCTTTATCCATAAACACATCCCTGATTTCATCTTGTTGTAGCTCTTCTTTTAAAAAACTCCAATTTTTTTGGATGCGCTGTTTATCAGTATCACTAAGTGGCTGAATTACTCTGGGCATCTTGAAGCTTTAAATAATATAAAAGTTTAAGTCATCATTGTAACTGGAATAATGAAAGGTAAAATAAGAAAACACTTTATAAGAATCAATATTCTAATAATAGCGTAAACTGCCCCAAGTTATGTTATATTGTATAACATAAGTTGAAATAAGCTTCATTCCTTATAATTTAATTTCAATGTAGACAAGAAGACAATTTTTCCATTTTTTCTCCTTCGCAAAAAGACTTCAAATATCGCATATTTTCAAACTTAACGTCAAGCGGAGTAATACGCTTTTGACGTAACTCACTGTGACGTAGGCAAATGGATAAAACCGTTTAACCAATCAAATGACGTGTTAACAACTAAAATTAATTAAATTATTAGAAAATAAATTCTAGGCTCAGAATATTTATACAGTTCACATGGCTAATCACTGCAAGTAAGATAGCAATGTCAGTAAATGTACCCAACTGGATCAATGAATACTTTTGAATATTTACATCCACTGAATATTTTCTTCTTTATTTCTTAAGAAAACCCATTGCGTTCATCACTGCATGAACTACATTAGGCATATCACCTGTACAGATTTCTCGATCAGTGGCCGTTCCATCAATGAAACGTACAAAGACGTTTGCATCATTAACACAATAATTAATATTTTTAATCCTACTTAAAATGATAAGTTAAACAGATATAAATATAAACAATAAAATGTCTTTCTTTGTTTGTTATTACTGGAATGAACGGTCGCAACTATTGCAGAAAAAAAAATTACATATGGGGTTATGTATTTTTTCTGCAACAGCTGCTTCTGTTCATTCCAGTAATAACAAACAAAGAAAGCATTTTATTGTTTAAATATCGATCTAATTTAGTCTTTTGAATAATAACACAATAATTCATAGATTAACATTGACAAAATACTATTTATAGTATGATGTATATCAATTAAAATAAATCTTAGTACTTGGCAAAAAAGGACATTTAAAATTTTTAGAAAGAAAAAAAAAAACAACAAAACAAACAAAAACATGCCTAAAAACTAAAACTTTAAAAGATTTTATAAGATTTCAAAATTTTCCGAAGCTTCACAAAGAGTTAAATATAGTGTTGTCACGATGATCGATTTATAATCAATGATCAGTCGGAAAGGCTGTCGATTTTAGACAATCGATTGGAGATTTTAACAATCGATTAATCGGTATATTTCAGCACATATCTTTTTAACAGTTTCCTCACTTTTATTTCAAGAACAGGCTCTTGTTATCAAAATATATATCTTCCAAGAGTTGTCCTTTACTATTTTAAAATACATGTACTTAAAATCTGTTTAAAATAAATCAAAAGATAATAACATTTGTATTTCTAAAGTGAAGAAACTAAACTACATCTGTACTTGTATAAATGAAATATATTAGTTTTCAGTATTTGGGGGAATTCACTTGGCATTTTGTTCGGAATCACAAGGATTTGCAATGTTAAATGTCTTATAATAGTTAAAAAAATTAATTCCATAAAAAAAAATATATATACATTTTAGATGATCATGTAAATTAAAGACTGATCTGTCAATGCTTACTTTCCCCAGGCCAAGTAATTCCTAGTCATGCAAAAATCTGTATTACTGAAATGTTTAACTGCATATATACTGTTTTTGGAATTTCGACCTGTAAAATGCACCTTAACTTACATTATTTAACAATAAAATTCTAAATTTTATAAAATCTAATGCCTATTTTAGGCAAAAGGTTACCGATTCGATTATTGGCCGCTGATCAGTTGGTTAGGGTCAACGGATGCTACCGATTAATCGATTCTGATTTTCAACTGATTTGACAACACTAGTTAAATAATGTTATTTTATGGAATTACAAAGTTGAGTGATTATCAGTTTTTCACCAGTTAACAATTGATATTGATTCTATATATTTAAAGTTTACAATGTAAAATAGAAGAAATGATTTATTGATGTCTTCATCATCAGAGAAGATACAAAACTTTTCAACGGATGTCTTCTATAATTTCATCAAGAGATGGACCTGGTAATGTTTGGATATTTGTGAAATTGAACAATTTACATTATTTCATTCTACGAACTTAAACGACGAAAGTGAGAGGTGCAAGAGACAGCAAGAGATGTAATCTCTGCGAGATTCATAGGGATTTATTAAAATTTTTGGTCTGGTGTCCACAAGAAACTCAGAGCAATCCAATAATTTGTTCTACTCCTATTTCCTATAGGAATGAACTATAGTACGAAGTATTTGATGCAGACTATTGTGGACCTCTTCAGCGATGGAGGTAATAATAGCAAACATCCATGAAAAAATAAACAACTTTATAATTTGCTGGATTTAAACCTTTTGAAGGTAAGAAACGAATGTTTTATAGCATAGGTGTTGGAACCGGGGGCTAGAGGGGTTGGGGTGGGGGGCTTAGTTGGAAGTCCCCCCTTTTTTTTTGCAAATATAGACAATTGCTATACATAAAAAATTGGGGTTTACCTTTTTCCGTTGGTTAACCCCCCCCCCCCCTCTTTCAATTAGCCCCTTACTTTCAATTTGCTTCTGATGCCCATGTTTAGTGATAGAGACTTAAAAGAATGTCAAAGGGAAAAAATTGAAGTGGCCAGCTAATTCATTTCAGTCTGTATTGATTGAAACGAGAGGTCAAAGTCGGGGCAACAAAGCCCGAATCATGTTGTGTGGGATTGCTCCGATATTCGTGTGGACGCCAAACCAAAATTTTAATCCCTACGAATATCGTTGAGATTACAAGAGTCGTAAAACAGATAAAAACAATGTATTCATAGTTTAATATTTACATTTGCAAATGTTTTCCTCTATATAACAATACTGAAAGCGTTTTTATAACTGTATAAATACAGGTACGGGGTCAAGAGGTCATAGATGTGCGTTTGGATAAATGTTCGACGTAATTTCTCTGTGACGTCATAAAGGGTCGACGCGCGTTTAGTGGATTACAAACATGCCGTTCGGTTTGAAAAACAACGCATTTCACACGTTAAAGTAACAATCAGGCAAATATAAAATATGAATAAGTCACAAATGTAAATATAAGTAATAAGGTATCATTTTTTGAGTTTTATTGAGATGTAAAACGGGTTGGCACATGATCAAATCTTCCATAAAGCCCTTCGGGCTTTATGGGATTTGATCACGTGACCAACCCGTTTTACATCTCAGTAAAACTCAAAAAATGATACCTTATTTCTTAAATATCAAATTTTACCAATGTTTACTCTTACTTCCACATTTTAAAACGTTAAGATGAATGATACCACATTCAGAGCTTTTGATCTACTTTCGTTTTGTTCAATAACTAGTAATAACATTTTCTTACGAATTATGGACTTCCTAACAAAAAATCAAATATCTGGTAATTTTATAAAGCATATATATAAAAAAAGAATTGTATGATTTACTTGTTATCACTGTAGAATCTCGTCAGGTTCTTGACATTGCTCCTTCTCCAGGCTGTGATATTAACAGGAAGTATACACAATCAATCTTCAAAGAGGGTGTTGCTAAAACGCGGAACGGAAAACGGAACGGAAAACGGAACGGAACGGAAAACGGAATAAGTAATTTCGGATTAAATCACTTAAAATACACAAATTATATCATAAATGTTATAACTTGTACGTAGTCAATCCACAACTATTAAATACATGTTGATTTAGTCATGGTAAGACTCTTATTTACGAAAATCGCTGACATGACTGTATAGCAGCGACGTAGTGTAATCGATTTCGAATTTGAAAGTGTGGGAGGGGTTAAACTTACTTGAAATTTTTGACAAAAAAAAAAAAAGACAATTGTTTGATTCGGGAGGGGGATAAATCCCAACTCTAACATTTTTTCAGTACTATTTTTACTACACTAACTTACTACATTAATTACATTAACAAAAGTGTGAGGGTGTCAATGAACATTTCTGTAGTAAAAACAGTGGCGTATCATCGTTTTTGAAAGTGGGGGGGGGGCAGCCAGAGAAAACATTTTTTTACTTACCTGAACAAAGTTGACAAGCAAAGAAAAAAAGAAAAATTTGCCCAAAGTCGAAAACCCAATTTCGGAGGGGGGGGGGTTAACTTTTTCTCAGTGTCAACTACTTTTATTACCAATTCTAATACTACATTTTCAGTATATCACTAAAAGTCCAATACTGGGGGGGGGGGGGGCAACCAGGCTTTCAATTTACATTTCCTTTAGAATAAGTAAGGTTGGGAAAAAAGGGGGGGCAGCCCCCCCCCCCCCCCCCCCCCTGTTGCTACGCCCCTGAAAAAGGTTATGACTGGGGAAAAGAGGGAGGGCAAATATTTGATATCTAGATGAACCATGGAAAGAAAAAAAAATGTTTAAAAAATTATTAAGATTACTTTTAGGGCAAACCTTTCCGGCAGTCTCGAATAAACACCTCTTTGGTAACACAGCTTGTTAAAAATTTATACAAAATAGAGTTCTATATATTTTTAAATTCTGGATAGATATTAAAAGTTGGAAAACTTTCCTGTGGTAGATTAAGTGTAGCATCAGTTAAGTTTGTTTATATACGGTATACATGTGCATGTACATTTGTGTTTGAATAACCCCGTAAAACATTCTAATTTGCTTTTCCGCTCATCGGAAAGGTCTGAGAAGGTCTGCCCCTTTTTGTGTCCAAAACATACATAAGATTTAATAAATCGTTTAATTTTGCTGTGGGTCCCAACCAAGACCCAAAATGCCTCTCCCCCTTTCAAGATTCCCGGATTCGCCACTGCTTGCATAATCTGAATGTCAAAACTATTTATTTTTGTCTTTAAGAACAAAATTGAAGGGGGGGGGCTAAGTCAAAGAGAAAAAAATTCGAACGTACCAAAAACTTGACAAGCAAATATGGAACGCCGTCACTGCCTTATAGCAGAACACAACAACTGCACTGCGTCAACCTTCCATTACATTATGTCAACTCTTTATGACATTTACTCACACAACTATTACATTGTGTCAACCTTCTATTACATTATGTCAACTCTACATGATATTAACTCATACTACTATAGCATTGTGTGAACTTTCCTTTACATTATGTCAACTCTTTATGACATTTAGTCACACTACTATTGCATTGTGTGAACTTTCCTTTACATAACGTCAACTCCATATGACAGTTACTCACACTACTATTACATTGTGTCAACCTTCGGTTTCATTATGTCAACTCTTCATGACATTTACTCCCACTATTATTTTTTTGTTTCAACCTTTCATTACATTATGTCAACTCTTTATGACATTTACTCACACTACTATTGCGTTGTGTCAGCCTTCCATTATATTATGTCAACTCTTTATGACATTAACCCATACTACTACTGCATTGTGTCAACCTTCCATTATATTGTGTCAATTCTTTATGATATTATCCCACACTACTATTGCATCGTGTAAACCTTCCTTTTCATTATGTCAACACTTTATGACATTTACACATTCTTGCATTTCGTTATGTTTACTGTTCATGACATTTAATCAAACAACAATTACATTGTGTTAACCTATCATTACATTATGTCAATTCTTTATGATATTAACTCACACTAAGTACATTATGTCGATTCACTATTACGTTATGCGAACACGGATATCCTCGGCCTTTATATGAGCATAACGTATTTTCCGCGTTCCGCAAGCACTAAATTGGCGGGAGAGAAAACTGCATGTCGTAGAAGAAATCTCAGCGATTTGGGAATGGCATCTTTAAATAAAAATTTTAAGCGACAAAGGATTGACAATCTTGAAACGTGCAAAGCCTGAACACTGCGACTATGAATTAAAGTCACGTCGAAATTCAATGGCGTTTACTTTAATCTGATAATTAAATAAATAAAATATTATGAGTCGTGCAGCAATTTTTTTTCTTTTTATTTTGAATTGTTTGTTTGTTTGTTTGTTTTTTTTTTTTTTTTTGGCTAAAAGTCTTAACTTCGGATCTTACTAAGAACATTGTAATAAGTTTTTTTTTATCAGTCTTGAACTTTCCTTTTGTTTTAAAGTGTAAACACATCGTATAACACACGTGCACTGGTGGGTTGGGGGGAGGGGGAAATCCCGCCCTACTTAGTGACCAAAATCTACATGTACATAAAATTAATAAATTTATTGGTTTTACTTTGTAGGACATTGCATTAGTTTCACATTAAGTTTAGCTGAATTAAGTTGAAAACTTTTTTATAAAACTATAAAGCCTGAGAGCTTCTCCGCTTTCCCCCTTGGTCTCCAACCATAAACCGTCCCCCTTCAGGCTTGGACATTTTTTTTTTGTTCAAGATTCTCATATCCGTTACTGATATGTGTCCATGCATGCTTACTAAGGCATATTCAATTGATTTAGATGAGGGATTGGTAGATTTTTGTAATAGAACTCTGGCCCTGGAATGGTTGAAAAAATTACTAATTCCAGTGACGTATCGTCTTTTTCGAAAGGAAGGGGGGGGGGGGGGTCAGCCAGAAAAAAATGTTCGCCCCCCCCCAAAAAAAAAAACTTGAGAAGCCAAAAAAAAATTGTCCACTCCAAGCCCGAAAATCCTATTTCGGGGAGGGGGTCCAACTTCGATCAGTCCTAATTTTTTTGTCAGATATACTACATTACCCTCGGTGGACTATACTTCAACAAAAAGTGGGGGTGGGGGCTGTACTTTCAATGAACATTACATTTTCTATTGTAAAGTTATGTCTGGGGAAAGAGGGGGGGGGGCTGATATTTTGTGCCTGTAATTCTTCCTAATCAATCAGGACCCCCCCCCCCCTCTTACCAGTCATAAAACACGGTCGTCAACATTCATTTTATACCAGATATACAGCTTTGAGATAATGTAAATGTATTTTTACATCAGGTAATGCACTTTTGGAATCAACATGATAAAGAGTTAACGTAATATAAAGATATTTTAAGATCACATAAGAAAGAGTTGACATAACGTTATTATATATCCGCATCACGGAATTGAGTTTTGACATAATGTGATAAAGTGTTGATATAACATAAAGATATGTTCACATAATGTCATACACTTTTTACACCACGTAATAAAGCACTGACATAAAGGTAAGATGTGTTCACCTCACATCACGATGCTCTCGCCGTAAAATAAAGATAAACCCATACCATGTAATAATGCTTTGATATAATAGACATATACACTCTCAAAAAGGAATGGGCTTTTGACTTCATGTAATGATAAGTTTAATTATAAAACACAATTCACTTGACGTAATGCAATTTTGACCTCACATATTAAAGAAATGAAATGATGTAAAGAAACATTCATTTCACGTAATAAAGTTTTAACACAATGTAAACATATTATCACTTCACATAATGAATTTTCGACTTCAAGTTATGAAGTGCTGACATAATGAAAGGATGTATTTACTTCATGTAATGCAGCTTTGACATGATGTAAAGATATTTTTACATAATCTCATAAAAAATTGACATAACGTAAAGATATGTTCACATCACATAATGGTAAATTGACATAATAAATGCATAGTTGTATGCTATAAGGCAGTGTTGGCGTTCCATAAGCAAAACAGGAAATATGTCCTTCGCCCAAACATGAAAATCCTATTTCAATAGGGGGGGGGGGGGCGAACTTCTTTCAGTACCAATTTTTTTCCAAACACTTCCACTTAACCTTCATTGATCTGATCTACGACGTGCCTGTTGAAAGTGTGTGTATTGGGGGGGGGGGGTAAACCTACGCTCCAATGTTGATTGCCTATATTATGGCTACCTCTGCAAAAAAAAAGGTGGAGGTGGGGGCTAAAAGCTACCCCCCTCCCCCACCCGGTTCCGCCGCCTATACCAAATTTATTTATGCATGGATATACTAGTAGTCTTTTTTCCTTCTGCCTATTTCAAGATTTTTTTTATGAATGAGCTCTCTTAAATAGATAAGAAAGAATTTGTACGAGACACTCAGATGAATACTCAGGCCTTTGCCTCTACTTACAAGCGATGGCTTATAAAATACATACTAAGTATGTATTTTATAGGCCATCGCTTGTATACCAGTTCTGCGCGGATGGTGTGTATGGTTCATGAAAATATATAATAGTTTACAATAAATTATTATTAGATATGACTTTTACATCAAGAATATTGCTTTTATCTCTGATTTATATCGAATCTATGTTATTTGTTTGACATAAATTTTCCGTATTCCGTTCCGTTCCGTTTTCCGTTCCGCGTTTTAGCAACACCCATCAAAAGAATACAAAACCGGTTTGGTAGGTACGCGTAAATCCGTAATACTGTTAAAACAAACCAAACTTTCAGCAAAAAAAATCGTTCTATGAAATATCATTATTATTCAGTGAATAGAACCTTTAAAGAGGAAAAAGGAAAAAAAATGCCTGGCGTGCCCTCTCCCGGCCGACTGACTTAAAGCGGTTCGACTTTGAAAAAAACACAACCTTTTTTTTCTTCCGTAAATTTTTTTTGA